GTGCTTCAGGAAGTTAAGTACCCTGAAAAAAAATCTTCATTCTTGCTTGACGCTTCTCTATTTGCTTTATTCTTTTTATGGAATAATCACCATTTAATTAGCAATTCTGTGCAATATTTACTTGAACAGTAAAGTGATCTCAGTGACTTTAATGCAAGCATTATTTTAAGGGCTCTTCTATAAAACAAAGAGAAAGTGCCTCACCTCAGGATAATGTCACAAGGAGAACTTCAGACAGCAGAACTAAATTTAAAAACAATGCTCTTACAGGATCTAACAACTTGAAAATTTATGATCAGCTCTGGCAGATCTTTTCTTAATCCTGTTCACTCTACAGAGTTCAAAATGGTGTGATAATATATTTTAGTAGAAGTTGTAAAAAATAGCTATAAAATAAAGCACAGAATATATCAGCTCCAACTTCAGTAGTTCCACCTAAGCATCATGGCCATAAGATGGAAGAGTAGAGTCATACTCTTTTGGCATCTACTTCCTATTTTAAATATAAAACTCCTTTATCTCCTTTATTTCTTCCCCTATTATTTTTCTTATACTTTACTGTCAATACAATTTTTACTACTCCAGTAAAAAAAGTGAATCTGATACAACTGTTTTTTATAATACAGAATATATTGTGCTGATATTTTATCTGTTACTTTACTGAAAAAAAATAATACATTTTCAGTAATAAAAAGGAAATATTATGCAGAGTAATTATTACTGACTAGCCTAAGGAACTGAGACGCGTTTGCCTCTTATCTGATTAAACTTTACAGTAAAATTAAAGAACCTTTGTAGTTCTTCATCTAAACAAAGTCATCCCAGTAACAGGTACTCTATGTAAGAGACCCTCGTCATTGCATCCACCTTCACCGCAGCTTGGGGAGCCAGTTTAACCGAGAAACATGGGCAGAGCTCTGCTGATACTGAAGATCAACTTGACAATACAAAAGATATTCCACTATTTCTGCTACTGAAGTTAATCTTGTGTCATACAAAAGGGACCACAGAAAGTAAAAGATAAGTTGCTTGAATATCCCTGACAATCTGAACCAGATCATGCCAGAAGTTAGAGAAACTTTTGAGTGGGCATTGTCACCTCTAACTGATGCAAGATCTTGGGCCAAGAGGACTACCAGAAAGGTTTAACATACCATGTGCCTTTTTTTTTGCTTTGCTTTTTGTTGTTAAACCTGGTGCAGTTATCATAGCCTAAAGATACAGGCAGGCAGAGTTTGTGATTAGAGATAATATCTTTATCAGAGAAAAAAGGTATATTTGGAAAATGAAATTACTTTTCAGACACAAAACTTTCTTTAGGAAGACCTTTTTCAGGACGTGGTTGAATGTTCAAAAGTATACCTACAGTTTCTAATTATGCTAAGTGGTCTTCAAAATGATCGTGTCCATAAAGTTTGCCTTTTCTTAGTAAGATATTAGGAACATCACAGTACCAAAGGCCTGAGGGCTTCTCAGCAGCAGAAAGTTCTGTCATATGCCACCAGTCATCTCAAGCCTTTGAAGCCCTTTTCTTAGAATATAAAATCCATCACGAAGTTTACGCATGTGGGTTGGATATACGTTTCAAGATGTTTATGTCTACTTAGGTATATGCTAGCACCTTTTGAAATGGTACCACTTCATTGAGAGAAGGGATTGGAACAAAGGATAAAAAGAGCTAACACAAAGCAAAATGTGCCTGTGAAATCCTCAAAGTTAGGTTGAAACAAATGTTTTACTTTATGGTCATTCTCAATTCTACACAAACCGTTTTGGGGCTAGGTATAAGTTAATTAACATTTGTTGGTTTAGTGAAAACTTTTCTCCTAAAAAAAATCAACAGAGGGACAAACCGCAAAGGCAGTTGGAGAAAAAGCTTTACTCAGGGAAAGTTATTTGAAAAGTGCAATAAGAAAGGAAAGATTCAAACTTCCTTCCTAATCCTTTTTAAGCACTATCTCCTTTTTTCAGTGGAAAACTACCATAAGTGAATTTGTTACTTAAAGAGACCAGCGATAGATAAATTAGGCAAGTGAGTCACCTCCTAGCTCTCCTATCGTCACTGATCTCAGTTGGCCTTCACCCATCCTACACCCTTCTAGAGGAGCTGAGGGTCACCTCACTGACATGCATATCACACCCTTGCATTTAAAATCAGTTGGAAAAATCTACACAACTATTTTGTTGCTGATGTGTTTGATTACTGGTCAGAAATGGCAGCTCAGTAAATCAGACTGTATGTTGATAGAGCAAAAACTTAAAATACTGGGTTAAAGCTAGTTACAATTTACACCTCTCCAACTATATAGATATAGTAGATCAATATTTTCTGTATGTAATTGCCTGCTATATGGTCACTCCAAGCCTGTAAGGAGGCCAATCTGTTATCTTCATCCTATGGTTTTTACTTTAAGACTTGGGAATGCTGATTTATTAATATTTTTTTTCTGTTTGACTGTACTCTGAAGGAAAGACATAAATAATACCGTATCAAGAATCTAGTGCCTCACTAACTCTCTTTAACAGCAAGGTTAGTAGCTAAGGACCCATCTTTTCTCTTTTGATTTCAGTTTCTTCCTGATTTATATAAGTAAAATTTTTATGGGGTCATGGAAATCAGAAAATTCAACGTATTCAACAAAGTACTAAAGATTTATAAGGAAAGAATATTTACAGGTTAAACTTTACTTTGCATTTACTTGTTTGGGGCATAATTTCTAATTGTTACAAGCTGATTATATTGAAAATTTGCATGAATATCTAGTTTTAGTCTTTATTATGAATATTTTTCCTTGGAATTTATTTTATTTAATAGACTTCATTTTTCTACATACCACATATAGTATGCTATGTTCTAAAATGGTATGGTAGAATGTGGAGAATTTTGTTCTGGGGAAATAATAAATTCCTTTGGCTCTGTGTGAAAGGTTTTATTCATCTCTCAGGTGCATGATCATTATCTGGGTCTATCTTGGATTTTCCCTTAATTTAAACAAGAGCCATCTACTGTAAATCAGCATTTTTTTTTTGCTTACAGAAACATGCAACTTGTAGATGTGTAGCCTCTTATATTTAAAAATATATTAAATTTTCAGTTTCTAAAAAAGTTAGGAACAGATAATTAATTAATTCATGAATGAAAGTTAACACCGATTCCAATATCAAGTAGATTGTTTTTCCGCTCAGGGTGAAATACAGTCTATCCCGAGAAAAAAAATACGAATCTTACTGTAATATCTAGTTAAGTTGCTGCTAGAATATCACGTGTGCCAAAGCATCTTACTTGAGCATCATGCACGCGTAAGCCACATGTAGCATGCATTCTCAGCTGCCATATACAGATAATTATACAATGCTTCTCAACAAAACATCTATTTTGTACTGGTTGGAAGTTTATCTCCCTACTACACAAGCTCATGGAATGATGCCTCTGACCAGGAACCATATTTATGGAAAAAATAGTGAGCAAAACTGTTACAAAGTTCTCGTTTGTGCACAACATTTTACTGATAATCATAATACACAGACAAGTGATACTCAAATGTGCATCCAGGCTGCCACATTTCTTTCCTCTCTAGTGCAACCACTGCACTAACCCAAAAAGCCGTGCTGGAACTCAACACGCCTTATGTGCAGTTGCAGGGCTGTTCCCTTTCCAAGCCAGTTGTGCATGACCACCTGTGTGAGTGTCTTTGGGCAGGCCCTTGCACTGCTCTCTGCATTCTCGTTTTCCACAGCACGCCACTGTGGATAGTCACCCTAGCTCTCCACCTACCATAGAATCATAGAATCCAAGAATGGCCCAAGCTGGAAGGGACCTTGGAGATCATTTTAATCCAGCCTCCCTGCCACCAGGGACGCCACCTCTTGACTACATCAGGCAACACATGGGAACCGAACGGGAATATCGTTTTTGCCCTCGGTATTCAGGGCAGCCTCTGCAGCATGCTGTTAAAATGGAAATAAAATATACGTGTCTCTTCCCTGCTCCTCCTGAGGTAAACACCAACTTCATTCTACTGACTTGTAACAAAAGGCAGAGGTCAGAAGGACACCAGCTCCTCTGAGGTGGAGTCCGTTTGTGCAATGTGTTAAACGTCGTTAGGTCTCATTAACTTCCCCAGACTTTTCCCAAGGCATTTGTTACAAACAGCAGAGAACTATTTAAGTGTTATTGTGGTATTTCTTGAGATATATTGAAGAAACGTATATACTGAAGAAAACCATTCGCAGTGTTGCATTAAGAAACTCGTTCACGTGGTCTCATGGAAAGTGACTCAGAGACGTTACAGTGCACATTACTGTACAGAGCGTTACTACATTATCCAGCCTTGCTTAACATCCCAGGCTCAGAATCAGTTTGGCCACAAGATCCCGTAAGATCTAGTGACTTGGGAGTGCTACACAGGAGACACCTCAGACAGACCTGTCTTTCAGAGAGTATTAAAACTCTGCCACGAGCACACATTTTGGAGGACTGAAATGGACATGCAAACACTGAGATCCAACAGAGCAGTCCTTTAGAAAACCTTGGCCTTCATGAGCACTGATGTAATTCAGGATTGATGCCATTCAGCTGAAAAGATTACAACAACAAAACAGCAATATGAGATTGGATTCAGTCCTCTAAAGTCTAAAATCTCCAAGATATATTCACAGAGAAATAACTTACTCCAGCATCTGGAAAACGGGCCCTGTTGAAAAGCATGAAACCTCTAAAATGTTATTTGAATGACAGAAGAGTAATACTGTAAAAAGCCAAGACAAAAATGCCAAGAAGAACAGAAAGGCATGAGCCAGAAATGCCAACATGTTCATTTCTACCCCGCCAAAGAGCTGGGTGAGACTCACAGCGCCATGTGCATCTCTGGGTATTAACTGATGGACTGTCCCTGCCCTCAGTCACAGGAGTGTCACCTCACAAAATATAAATACTTTCTTAAGGTTCCCAACCACAAAAAATACCGACTCAGAAACACACACCTTATGACGATACCTACATTTAGCTGTGACTTTGTACCCGCCCAGTGGAGGGTCGTGGCCTTCCACGGCATCGAATCCTGCTGACACCAGGACAATCTCTGGATCAAACTCATGGGCAGCTGGCATAATCACAGTCCTGCAGAGTGAAAAAAAAAGGCAACCTGTTAAAAATTAAAAGAACTTCTTTTCTTCATGATATAAATTGCCACAATCTCAAAATCCACGAGATATTTTCTTTTAATTAACTCAATCTTCACGGTAGCTGCCCAAAACCAAACAAAATCCAAGTCTTTAATTAATTTCTTTCTATAGTCACTCTTTTTTCTTTTCTACAACTGAGAAAAAAAAATAACGCAGGTACATGTGAAAGCCTCTAATATTACACACACATCTGTGCCTGTTTTATCCTGCTGCCTATAAAAAGCTGCCTCTTCCAGGGAAGTGACTAATGGTTTACAGAGAGCACTCAAAGCCTGGACTGCTCCAGTTAGTGCGAACTTGGTGTAAATTTGAACTATAAATTTCTTTTGGGAAAATGTTTGCTTTCCAAACTTTTTTTTCCTTCTTCTTCTTCTTCTTCTTAACATTTTTAAAAGTTTGTCGAGGTGGGGGGTGACTCTAGCAAAGGAAAAACATGAAATTCCCTTAATCAAATCCAGACTATGTTGTTAAGCCTTTCCAAGGTCAAGCATAACAGGAATGTGACAACCACAAACTAGTGACAGCAACCCCTGCTGGTGTCAGGAAGATAATTCAGCCCTTCACAGTCACAAAGATCCCGCTTTTTTAACCCCTTCCTCAACGAACTTCCATGGGGATATTTTGTCGCTTTGATTTCGCCCTTCGCCAGACTCAAAGGATTAAAGATGCGTCGAAGGGGAAGATAAAGCCTTGCATTCTGCATTCGCAGATGCCTTCTTTCAGGCTGATTTTCCAGAGGGAAGGCGTCAAGATGGCTTTAATGTTAGGGCAACAAATGCTGAGCCTGTGTTACCTGCACTAGTTCAGGGGGGGCATCACTAACATTAAAAGATAAATGCATAAATGAGTGTTCTATTCCAAGGAAATCCTAGTTGGTCTACAATGGTGCAAATCTGAACATCAGTTTTGCATATGTGTAATACAACCTGCTGTAGTTCAACATTCATTTATTAATTTATTATTTAATCAACCTAGGCCAAGGATCTCATGGTTTTGTTGAAACATTAAGGTTTTCTGTGGGGAAAATAAACATCGTAGTAAAATTTTAACAACTCTTCAGGTTTTTCTGTAATTTAGTTTTTGATCTGCGTTTTATAAAATTGATTTTGTTCTGATTTCCTTAAAGGTAATTTTAATATTAGCAAAACATTCTTTTTTCTTGTTAGTCAGAGAAAAGGAGAATTCAGACTAAGTAAAAAAATCTCTGACAAGGCATACAACATTTCAACTAAAGTCATTTTAAATTAGAAAAAAATAAATAGAATTAAAATTCATTATCCTGGCAATTTCACTGAAATTGCACCATGAATGTCTGCATACATGGTGATATAATTTCAAAATACTAATTTTTTTTACATGTCATTAGTAGGCCTCTGCTTAAGTATGGATTCCAGTATTGAGCATTGCAAATTGAGAAGGATCTAGACTAATTTGAGAGAAAAAAAAAGGAAATTTAAAAATTCTAAAAAAATGTGACCTAAGTGGATAAAATGCTAGAATTATAATTAGTTGATTCACATGATAACATGAGAGTAAACATTAAAGTCCATGAATACGTAAGTGCATGTTGCAAGAGGAAAGATATAATCTGTTCTGCATTTCCAATGTGGATAGGACATGGAGTAGCTGCAGCAGGAAAACTATAGTTCAGACACTGGAAAAAGCTTTTTAATAGCAAGGATAGATAGTAATTTAAATAAAATATTTAAGAAAATTGAACAGCCTTCATCTCTTTAAGTTTTTTGTAATAGCTAAAATAAATATTCATCAAGCTTGCTGCGAGTTCAAGCTGACATGCCCTTGAGGCAGGAGATTACACTACTTCTCTTCTAGGTCTTTTTCCTATAATTCCACGGTGTTTAACTATATAACACACAAAGTAAACATATGAATAATTACATGAGACATTACAATGGCTGAATGTCTTTGCAGGCTAATCTCCACAAAGTTAGGGAACAATATTAGGAACAAAGATCTCCTACACAACCACACCTTATCTTTCTCACGTACATACCTTCTGATACTCTAATTATAAGTTCATTGTCTGAAGCAACACATACTTCCCAAACATCCCCACGTCTGTAACACATGTGGCACGGATCCCAATTAGTGACGAGGACTGTGGCTGATACTCAGTCTTGATCTGTCCCCATGGCACCATATATCTTACACACTGAAAGAAGGAGGGATTCTACAGAGAACCCTCCCTATCTGCAGCCACTTCAGCTTTTGCCCTCCTCCTCTCCATTCGCATTTCCTTAAATTCAAGTCGGGCTCTGTTTTTTATTTCTTCATGTCAAATAAAGTGGCAACACCATGGAGTACAGCATAGACAATGCTCAGGAGCTAGAGGATGAAATATGTTCAGTGCAGACAGAAGCTCTGAAAAACTCAAGTTGCTAAGCACTAACAAACCTAACCAGGCTAACACAGAATGAGGCTTCTGAGAGGTTTATAATTTGGAACATTGGGAAAATCCACCACACTTCTACCACATTTCAAGACCTTGCTCAAAAGCGTAAAGATGTCAGCACATTTTCTTATAACTTGGGCAAAACAATGCATTTGACCCTTAATCTCATTCTTAGAAGCAGCAAAAATTGTTTAGTCACAGTTTCTTCAAAATTTTTTGTCAAATAAATATGTCTGACATGAAAACTGTCAGGCACACTGGGTAACATTAGTAAAATTATTAAATACTGAAAGCAAGATCTTTCAACACAAAGCACCAGGAATAGCTATTAACACCATATTTAATAGTACTGAACAGGAAATAGTAGCATATTCATAAATCTCTACAGAAATGATATATAGGAATCTCAGCTAAAGGAAGAAGAAGGCTATAAGCGTAATACCGGGAGGTAGCATTTAGGATTCACAATTCTGTTACTGCTTTTGGTATTATCTGAATTCACATGACAAAAATAAGACCTAAGAGGGATTTTATGAAAGAAATACTTTTTTCTTTTAAAAACTTTTTTCTTTTAAAAACATACACAGTGTCTGTCAAATTTCACCACAAGAATAGCATCCTTCTTTTGCTATAACAGTCACAAAATTCTGACAGAACTTCGCTGCTGCTACTCCCCACACTGCATACCAGAAAAGCTAACCTATGTCCTCACAGGACCCGTGTCATTGCTCATTTCTCTTTCATCCTCCATAATATTGAAGGACTTGGAATGTCAGAGCTCATCCATCTTACACTTTTCTTGATTTAATACTGAACAGAAACTCTAAGGAACTATCTTTAAAAAAGACATTAGGTAAAATGTAATATATTTACTAGGATAGCAAGCTTGACTTCTCTCTAAAATACCTCAGGGCATTTGTGGTCCTTTAGTAGCAGTCAAGACTATTATTTAGTCTTTCAATAAGTGACAGCCTCAAGTCTCTCAATTGCAGAGAGAACCATATAGACATCTAGCTCCTGAATCTCTAATCCAATATTCCTCTACATTAACCAACAGACATTTAAATTTGCTCCTCTTTTGAACTATACTATGAGATTTCTGCTCAGAGAAGACCAGTTCAATGTCTGGAAAACACCATAGCATTTTGTTTTGGACTTTGGATAGGTAGGACCTCTCTACCTTTTGTCTTGCCTTGACAGGAACTCCGTTGTGGCATAAAATACACGTGTCAATTCCTCCACAAAAGTAACAGATACTTACCTATCTTATGAAGTGTTATAAGGAATCATATATACACTTTTTAAAATATGGACTAAAATTCACAAGGACTAATGAAACCTTTTGGCATTTGCCACGTCTCAGGCTTCAGCACCTTCATTATCCCTGAATAACTGTCTTCAGAAAAATGTTTTGAGGTTGGCAGCTGTAAAGAAAACCTACACAAGGCACTAGATTCCATCCCCTTTATTTTTACCTAAAGCAATGTGAAGCGCACTTGTCACTCATAAACACGCTTCTCCTGCCTCAGGAGAGTGAGGATGGTTGGACAGGCAGGTACATCTCCTGACCCTTCACTGTCTGGGGTACAGAGAATCATCACACCCTGTATCTTGCTCCTTTCTCATCTCGTCTACACTCTGGAGGGCACAGCAAGGTCTAAGAAAGAGAAATAATCCATTAACTGCTTCCTCAGAAGCTCCATAACAACAGCACTTCCTTTCTCTATCACGTAAGAATAGAATCTTCTGAATCAGAAACAGAAAATATGCTCTTTTTTAAAAGCAGATGACTAGCATTGGTCATACGATAACAGAAATTCATGTTAACCTTCCCAAATTCCTCAGGCCAGCCCTATGCTCAGAAGTCAGGCTGCAGCTGGCAGGATTTGTTACGGTGCGAAGGGTCAAAAGTCTGCTCATCAGAAATCCTTTGCAAGGGTGCACTCAGACCTAGGTAGGAACAGTTATTATCTTACCCTCAGCAGGAGTAAAAAATATGATTTAGTCAGCAGACCAGTACAGACTGGGGACTGGCAGGCCATCAGCTTTCTGCTTGAAGCCAGATGGGCTGCAGGGGTTATCAGCAAACAGAGGTTAACATTAGGACCCTCCTCTGACGGAATGACTAGTTTCTGTCAGAGGTGAAGTGAATTTTATTCTTGCATTATGACTCACACTCTCCTCTACTACCTTCTCCAAAGAAAATAAAATACATAAAAGGGATATTTATTTTCTGTGATCCTGAATCGTATAGAAGCATAAATATTTGGTACACTGTATTCACCTAACGATGACAGCAGAGTTACAGCGGCATCTCGCCTGACTGACTGTTTCTTTCTTTTCTCTCACATTTTCATTAATAAACATGTCAAAGCCTGAAAGCTTGAGCAGCTGGATCACAGGAGTTATTTATCCGTGCTAAACCTTGCAGTTACAATGAAACTGTGTCCTCCAGCCCAGAGCAGCGAAGTTCCTCATTTACATCTGATGGTAATGGGAACAGACCATGTGTCTGGGAAGCT